GAAATCTAGCTTTTCAATGTTGCTGTAGTTTTGTCAAGACAATATGAAATTTATTTCATAAATATTTATCAAGATTTTATTCATCTCATAACATATTTACAATGCTACTGTAAACTCTCTACCTTACTTTTTCCTCTTTTTTTTTCTTTTTAACTTATAAATGTCGAAAGGCTTGTAACTTATATGACAGCCCTCCTATTGGATCTAGAAGGCTACACTTTCAGCTTTCAAATTTGCTTTGTAAATTGCACATTCTTAGAAATGGTGGGAAGTATTTTACACTATCTGAATAATAATGAACAATATTTCTCAGTGATTTATAACTCTAAGAGCTTTATAATTTGATTTTTGAACAGCTCTCAAATTTTCCACTGGCAGTTCATACAACTGTGAGTAAATTTTCTGGCCAAATGACTCAGTATTTTGCTGCATGACTAATCTTACACTCCATGTAGAAACTATATAAATGATTCTATTTGCTTGTGGATAATAAGTAATTACTTTCCAAAACTGTCTGCAAAGCATTATAGAGTTCAATTATATTGATGTTTTCAAGCCCCCCAAACTCAGCAGACTTTTTAAAAAATCCATAAAGCTCACACAAAAATTTTTGTTCACAGCATTATCACGGATTCTGCAGCCTGGCAACCCATAGGATAACAAATCTTAATTAGGCTCTAACATTTCTAAAATGTTAAAAGAACAATCTGAAATTATTCCATTTGAAACATTTTCTCTTATAAGGATAGCTTTAAATTATTTTAAATGTTTTTATTTTGGTAAAATGAATATAAAGTTATTTCCCGGGGTATATTTGCTGAAAATGACATTTGATTTTACTGAAAATGACAATTATCTTTTCTTCCCAAACTCAAAAGACAATAGCAATCCATCCACATGATGGTTTTCCTGATTCTGGTGACTGAAAATTGCCAGATTTTCAAGATTACTTTAGATAAATTAGGTAGTTCCAGTTGACATAAACTACTTTACCTTCTAGTTCATGCACATATAACATTTGGTCTGGGCACAAATAGGCCACCAGTCTAAGACCAGTACAATTAATTTGTAACAATTTGTTGTTAGAGCATTCTTACCTAATTTTTCTTGTTCTCAAGGAGGTAATATTCAATGGGATGTTCTTGTGTGATTAACAATTGGGTAATTTACTTACTTTCATGTAGGTTTGTAATAAACACAGAAAGCCTGGGCCACATTCCAAGGCAGTCTTATCTTTCCCTAATAAGAATTCTTCAAGTCTGAGTATTAGTAGTCAGGATTGGTCAGGGAGCTATCACTAGTTTTAGTTCTGCAGCATCAAAAGCAGCTTGAGAACAGAATCATTTGGGAGAAGGGGTCCTCAAGATATGTTGAATCACGTTACTAAATCACAAGTCTCAGGAGAAGGCAGACTCCTCCCCTCTCTTCAATCCTTCCTCTCCCCCTACTGTTCTTTCTCCCAAGTTCCTTAGAACCTTGTTCAAATACCCTTCCTTATCCAGACAAAAGGGTCGCTATTGGCCTTTATTCAGGCTTCAATTGCTTACTTACTCATCCTCTTTTAGATTTAAATTTCTCCAAAGATCATAGACAACCATTTTCTACTCTTTTTCCCTCACATTTCCTTTCAACCCATTAACTTCTGATTCTAGCCTCTCCTGCCATATGAATCAGTTCTCTGGAAGGTTTCCAGAGGTCTCCTGCTAAACAGTCCTCAGTCCTCACCCTTCTAAACCTCCCATTTGGGCATTGGTTCAAGCAAGCCACTGAGTTGGAACACTTCCCATATAGCTTCCAGTCCTGCCTTTTGCTCTCCACCAGTCCACAAATGGTGGAGTATTCTCCAAAATTCCAATTCCAATTTTTTTCCTATAGTTTCTCTTCTTTAGTCATTTCCTCCATTTCTATGACTCCAACATCTGTGTAGATGACTCCCACATCTGCTTCTGGTTCTGACCTCTCTACCCACATTTCCATGGGCTTGCTGGATATTTTCATACTGATATCCTTTTGACATCTCCATCTCAGTAGGTCTAAAATCCAGTTTGTCTTCTTTTACTTCAAACTCTTCCTCCACCCAACCTCAAAATTTGAGTCATCTTCAACTCCTTTTCCCTCAATTGCTACATAGCTTAGGGTGGAAACTTTTCTTCTTTCTGGCCCATAGATTGGGAACTTGTGCTATAACTTCCTACTTCTAGAAAAGTACTATGGAAGATGTTTATCAGAGCCCCTTTTTCTTGACTTTGGGAGGTAGAAAGACTTAGTAATGGCGGAAACTGCAAAGGCCTGCTAGCCACTCATGGGCAGAGTAGATGTATAAAGGTTCCTTCTCACAGAGGACTCTTGCTCACCCATGGTGTGTGCCTTGTGGGTAGAAAGTGTCAGGCTTTTAGTGTCTGGTTTCTGTGCAGGGATTTGTACAGGCCAGTTCTTCCTGCCCTACTATTGGGGAGGCTGTTCTTCAGCCATGTGACTAGATGAGCATGCTGAGTTAGGGGAAGAGGGAAAAGATGCCCCATTTGGGCCTTGAGTCTAAGCCATGTACTTTAATTTGGCTTACCCCTGAAAAATTTAACATTCTAATTTCTTTTGGATGCTTGTAGTTTTTCACAATTTGGTTGAGAATTCAAAGAGAAGGAGGGCTGTGGGGTGGATTACTTTATATATGTCTAATACCATACTCTCCTAGCCATTTTCTCTGGCTCCTGTGTCTTTCTCCTGGGTGACAATGCTAACTCACTACCACAAGAAAGTCAACAAATTATACACACTTTTTCATTATGATTTCTTCATTTTTTGATATGAGAAATTTTGACCATGAATTTTCCTCTTCTACCTTACCCTCAAACTTTATTTTTTGATTTTATATAGTGCCAATTATTCTTCTTTAAAATGAAAACCTAGCAGAAAGAAAAGGTATGAATTCTACCAAATTAACTTTCAAAAAGGACTGATTGGCTGATTTAATATTTATTGAATTCCATAATGCATCAGGCACCACACAAATACAAAGAAGCAATTAATAACATGCCATTGTTTGGGAAAAAATGATTAATTAGCAATACATCAGAAATTAACAATGAAACCAAGCACTGAACTCTTCTAGGATTTGGTTTGCTTGTTGTTAATATCTTTAAGATAACTGATGCAAAGAACAGAAATGAATGCATCTAGAAAGAAGTATCTATAATCCTTCTGCATGGTAGTTAAGCATTTGCCTGCCAAGAGAGATAAATGATGTTCTTGTGTGTTCTTGAAACTTATAAATGGCTGCACCAAGACTGAGATGATAAGAATTGTGCTAAAGTAATAGCTTAGAGAACCATAATTGCTATTTAGTTGCTTCTTATTGTTAAAAATGCAGTGTTTGAGGCAAATTTGTTGCTATGTGGTGTTGGTAGTCTTATGCCTGTTTCTGTTCAAGGATATTTAATCCATCTCAGCTCACAAATTTTTAGTCAATGAGAAACATAAAGATGACCTTCCTAAATTCTATTGTTTCCACCCAATGTTTGCAAAAGATTAATTCAGTTTTGTGGTTTTAAATTACTCCACCATGCCATTGTTAATGTGGTGGAGAATTCTTGCTTTCCTGATGTGCCACACATTGCAGGCTCAGGATTCTTTTCAATAACCCCTGCATAATGGACAAGAATAGTTTCTGACTGCAGTGGGCTGCGGTATCAAGAAACCCTTAGCTATGTGCACATGATGCAGAGCTACCTGTCAGCCCCTCTGAGTGCCAGGAACTTGTGAAGCCTGTCCTAGCATGCAATGCAGCCTACACTTTGACGTTCAATATTCCCACTTTATACCTGGTTTGCAAGCAAGGTCCCTTCTGTCTTCAGCCCCAAATAACGGAATGACTAAATGAGATGCAACATGCCAACAATTTGAGTGTTTGTTTTAGGAAACCAGCTGTAAATAAGAAAATATACCCATTGTTTTTCATGTTTATTAATTTAGCATCGAAGAGACTGTATTAGGAAACACCTTTCTGAGTTTCTTTTAATGCTTATACCTGGTAATATGTTACTGGCCTTAAGAACATCAATGGTTAAGCTTTTATGCAGAGTTGTAGAGTTGGTTTTGTACAGTTAGAAAACAACACTCATTTTGAGATTCTTACATGCAAATAAAACAAGTATTCCTATCAATTCTTTAATAGCATTTCAGAATTTTACAAATTATTTTTATGACACAATTTCTTTAGTCTCTTAAAAATTCCAAAATGAGTCCAATCTAGTTGGATGCAGTAATGTGTTACCTTGTCACTGTGATTTGCAGTTTCCTTATGAGAGTTAGTGAAAACAAACTACCCATCCCCACATAGGGAAAGCCAGCATTGCCTTGGGGGCAGCAGAACGCCATACCGCACTGGCCCGCCAAAGCCGCAAGATGCCGCAGACTGACCGCTGCAGCAGCGGCTTCCTCGCCAGGTGGCCAAGTCTGTCTGCAGAAAGGCACACTGCAGCGCTCCTGCTATACCTTCTGGGTTGGCATTGCACCAGTGACCACTGTTAAATGCCCCAGTCACAAACTACAATATACTTTTTGCTGATTATGAAGAAATGTGAGTGGAGGATAGCAGTAAAAGGAATGGTGTCCAAGAGTGCGACAGATCACCATGGCTTCACACTGCCTAAAAATTTCTCCTCGAAATATTTACAAGCCAAGCCCCAACTTCCTTCATTTGTTAGGTCCCTAAATCTTAAAACGCCTCTCCCTTCAAATGCATCAAATGAGTCAGGATTTTAGATACAAAGATACAGGAGGATCTGAAGTGCCTATTTATCGCCGGCAAAATAGCACCAAGTTTGGGGGTGGACTGTTCACGTCTCTAGACCCGAGCGTTCTTCTCCGAAGCACTTCTAGTTAAAAGGGGTTTGGAGAGGGATGGGCCTCTCTTTGCTAGAGGATCCCAACTCCCAGGGAAGGCCCTTCCCGGTGCTCGCGCTTCAGCGTGCGAGGAACCCCCCCCATAAGCAATAGCTCACCCGGCTGCATCCTCCAAAGCCCCTACCTCGGGGCGGGGCGCCGGAGGGTGGGAAGTGGCGGGTAGCACCGCTTGCAGGCTCTCGCCAGCGCCTTACGATTTTCCCCCTGGCTCCTTGGCGCCCCCTCACGCCGGGCTCCCCAGAAATTCCGCCAAAGGAGGCTGGGCTGGTGGAAGCCCCGGGTCCCCGGGAGCTGAGAGGCACCCGCCGGTTGATACGAGGTCGGCGCGCACTGTCGGGTGGCTTGGGTGGAGTGGGCAATGGGCGCTCAGGCTGGGGCGCAGCCCACGGCCGCCACCGAAGCCGCCGCAGCCATGTCCGCGCGCCCGCGCTGCCGCAGCCCGGCCGTGATGTCATCAGCCGAGCCCCCGCCGCGGCGCCCCATTCCCGCCCCCCGCGGGCCGCCGCGGCTGCAGCCGGGCGCCGCGTCCCCGCCCCGACCCACGTGCGCCCATCTTAGGGGATGCTGAAGCCAGCAGCAGCCACCAGACGATGCGCAGGGCCCGGGCATCCGCGGTGGCGGCGCTGCTCCTCCCAGCTCCCCGCGTCCCCGGCGGGGCTGCGCCCGGGGGCTGCGCACGGACTGGGACGGGGGCGGGGGCGCCTGGGGAGGGAGGGGAAAAGCTCCACGCCGCCAAGTCGCTGCCTCGTCGTTGTCTGCTGAGTCATGCCAAGCACTCCCCGCAGTTCTGGATCACTCGCGTAGCGCGGCTGGCGCGGGGTGCGCAGCCATTGGGCTGGGCGCGGAGCCGCGAGCGCCGGGCATGACGCGCTGAGCCGCGCTCGCCCGTGCCCGCCGCCCCGGCTTGCGCCCCGCGCGGGTGCCTGTGCCGCCGCCCTCCAGCCCCGCCGCTGAGTCGCCCCCCGCCTCTCCCGCATCATGATCGCCGCCGCTTTCCTCGTCTTGCTGAGACCCTACAGCATCCAATGTGCCCTCTTCCTCTTGTTGCTTCTGCTGGGCACCATCGCCACCATCGTTTTCTTCTGCTGCTGGCACCGCAAGCTCCAGAAAGGGAGGCATCCGATGAAATCGGTCTTTTCGGGTCGTTCAAGAAGCCGAGGTAAGACACGCTGCGACGGGTTTCTTTGGGCTAAAAGGAAGAATTTAAGCCTATTTGACAAATGAAGCGCGACTTCCTCCCTCCTTCGCCGCTCCTACCCCCATCATTACCCACTCCCCAAGCTGACATTTATCTATTTAATGCCCCTTGCCCCTTTTGCCCTCACCTCCACCCTCCACTCCTCCAGATTTTGATAACCACCAAGATACAGAGAGCAGGCAGGGGAGGAACGGACTCAAAGTCTGAGTTTGCTGAAGCCCTGAGGATATTTCCAGTGAGGTCCGGGGCAGTCTGGCCTTTACCGATCATTTTCCTGAGCTTAGGGAGTAAAAAAGTAAGGCATGGAGATTTCGGGGCTCCCCGACTGCCCCAAAACTTTCCCGGAAACTTCTTGTGGAGAAATCCCTTAGAGACAGATGGCCCAGTACCCCCGGCTTCCCTATCCCAATGCACCCACCGAATTCGAGGTGTCTGCAATGTGCTTTTCTGAATCTGGTCTCACAGGTAAGTCATTAGTAACTCGGCAGTTGAAGAACAAGGAGTTAAATGAAGTCTCATTTTTCTTTTTTTTTCCCCAGATGCGGTTCTGAGATCTCACCACTTTCGTTCTGAGGTAATTTATTTAGCGCGCACGCTCAAGGTCAGAAGAAGTTCTCTTTCCTGAGTACCAATATTAATCATATGCGTGTTAAGAAGGACATTGATGGCGAGCATGCTGCCCCCAAGCTCAAAGTGATATGTTTCTTTTTAAGTGATTCCACATTAGTGCCAGTGAACGTTTTAACAGATTTTTGTGTGGTGGAGTTACTGTACAAGAGGAGGAAAGGCAGCCCCTAAGCTACCGGAGGGATATCAGCTTAGTTTACAACCTAATTTGAGGTGAAAGCATTTTGGGGGTGCTGTCCTATATCTGTAGTTGTGCAGTAGGATAAACGACAGAGAAAAGCTTTTAGGAGGTTAGTGCAGAATTTGTTTCATGTGCATTTCATTTTGCATTTTCAGGGTTGCATGCTTATTCTTTCATAAAGCTATCTGTGAGGATTTTTGCAAAATAACAGTGGTGGTGATGGAGATTTCCTTGATGATGTGTGCTTACATGCTTATACTAGCTGCATCAAAAGAGGACCATTCCTCTAGAGCAGATGACCCAGACACTGTGATTAGGTTAGACTGCAGTAGGGCCAGCTTCCCTGGGGATAAAAGAAAACAAAAATCAAGAGCTTTCTCTTATCCAGCATTTCTTTAGGAGTTTCCAGGCCGCCTCTCACTTAGTGTAAAATAATTTTTTTTTTCTGTTTCTGGCAAAGTTCCATAGCCAGACTTGGAGGTTGCTATGTGATGCAGTTTACTCATCTTAGCAAAGCCTCTGTAGTCACACACCCTCCATTTACTTGCCATTTACCTGAAGTTATTTCACATTTCAATTTGCTAATCAGATATATTATTGGATTCTGCTTTCTTAAAGGCTTCAACTGCATTAGTATAACATTAGTATAATCTTGTACGGTAATTCTATTGCGTATAGCCCTAAAGGTGAGAATTCTGTGCCCAATGTAGGATTCTTTTTTTAAAAAAATATATTTCTTTAAATTGTTGATGGACTTTTATTTTCACTTATTTGTATGTGGTGCTGAGAATCAAACCCAATGCCTCATGCATGCTAGGCAAGCGCGCCACCGCTGAGCCACAACCCCAACCCCTCCCAATGTAGGATTCTTGAGAGAGTAAGTTGACTTGTCAGAGAATCAGAGGTTCTTTTCCTGGCTTTGCACTAATCAGCTGTGTGGTGCTGGAAAAATTTCTTTGAATTCAGTTTTCCCATCTGTAAAACGGAGGGCCACTAGTACTTTGCAGTGTTGTGTGTGGGGAGATTATAAGAAATTATGTTAAAAAAACAACACATGTCCATTTAGTTTATAGTAAGGGATTCAGCACTTGGTAGCCATCATTATGTTTTGTATGTGTTTGTAAAATTTTCAAGCATTTTCAGATTTATGCAGTACAACATAAACCACGTTTGTTGTTAAGCAACTGCTTTTGAATATCTGATTAATTCAACAGAACAACTCAGATGTGGCAAAAAAAAGTAAATAGTGGTCAGGATGCAAATATCAGAATGTAGAGTTTTGACTAGGAAGTCAACACCAGATCCATGCATATAAATGAAAGAAACAGAGTAATGTTCCTGTTATGGATTATTACACTGAGGCTATTATTACTAAGGCTAGTGTCCTCAGCCAGTTCAACTAAAGTACAAACAGGAAACATGAAATCAAACTATATCTTATTTATTTTTTCTCAGTTAAAAGTTTGTTCTGAGCTTGTAATTGATTAGGAAAGTTGGGGTCAGTGGTTTAATGTCTAGTTACTTAACTCATTAATAAATGTTTAATTCCTTAACTTATTTCACCAGATTCCTATATTTTAAGATTCTTGTGTGCATCTGATTTTTGTCTCATCTTTTAGCCTGTAAGCTCCTTGAGGGCAGGGACCATGTCTCTTGTTTAGAGCAGCATTCCCAGTGCCTGGCCCAGTGCCTTGTATATAGTGGGTTCTTAAGAAATATTTATCCAATGAATAGAGTAATCTCTTGATGGGTACTAGTTCCTGAAAACAGAAATCAAAGAGTTTTACAGAAAAGAAAAATGCATATTCTCAGAATTCAACATTTGCTGAATTTTTGCTCTTATTTGATCCTTCCAAAAAATTTTCAATTTTTTGAAAATTGCCCTGGAGTTTGTACTAAAATGTAAGTCACTAATTATAATAAAATGGATTTAGCTGGAAAGGGTTTTTTTTTTTTTTCTTTTGGTACCGTGGATTGATCTCAGGCACTCAACCACTGAGCCACATCCCCAGTCCTGTTTTGTATTTCATTTAGATACAGGGTCTCATGAGTTGCTTAGCGCCTCACTTTTGCTGAGGTGCTCTCATTTCGGATCCTCCTGCCTCAGCCTGGCAAGCTGCTGGGTTTATAGGCGTGTGCCACCACGCTCAGCTTGGAAAGGTTTTTTTTCCTTTAGAAAATTAAATGCAGTGTTAGCTTAATTTATTGATGGGATACTCATCAATAAGTTTCTTTAATAAACTAGTCAATGAATGCTGTATTATAAATAAAAATTCTGAGACTGAGTTGCATAAGCATGTCATATTTCATTACTGCTCAGTGTTTATCACAAATGGAACATTTACCCTTAAGGAAAGCAGAGATTTTTTTTCTTTTCTCTTTCTATTAAAATGCCATTTCCTATAAGATTTTTCTCCTCAAGTAATACATCTCCATTTACTTGGATTCTAGTATATTAGAAAGGTTAGACTTTGAGTAGTGCGATGAATCTTCTTCTCCTTCTCCTTCTTCTTCTTTGTAGCAGCTGCTGCAAAATATTTTATTATCAGAGAGAATGTTTGGATTTTCTGACAAGTCATAATCATGTTGAACTGAGTTGTTAGTGCTTTCTGTTTCTCATTACAATCTTAGTAAGTAGATAATTCACTTTCAGCTTTTCTGTCATGGTCAAATGAGGAAAATGAGTTTAGGATCTGCTGACTCACTTTGAAACATTAAAGAGCTTTGGGAAAGCCCTTGAGCAGATCTAGAAATTCAGTGAGTGATTCGCTTCTTTGCTTGACAGAGGATATTGCTTCTGCTACTCACATGCCTAAGCAGGAATCCAAATGGACAGGGAATTTCAGTGGGTTCCTTCCCAAGTAGTCAGAGAAAAGGGGAAAAGTCATAGCATCAGGACTCAGTTTGTCTTGGGGAAGCTCCACATTAGGGAAAAAGCTACTTCTTTCATCTGAGGAGCTCCAGCTTTTTTCTGCTAAGTGTATAATAGATACGTTTCTTTAGTTCAGTTTCTTCCTCATGAAGCTAGATGTAAATAATATACATGTTTATAGAATACTTTTGATCTATAGCCATATCAACTCATTTTATTTTCACATGCTTGCAAACTGATCATTACTGACTTTTTAAAACTTTAGTAATAGCATATGAGAATGTGAAATTATTAATCTATCTAGTAAGGCCTGAACAGTATAACCCCATTTCAGAAACCAACAGATTAAAAAGGA